CTCCCCGTCCCAGCACCCCCCCTTCCCGCCCCAGCCCCCCATCTATGGCTGTGCTCCACCCCACCCCCCATCTATGGCGGTCGTCTTGTTGAAGTCTCACCAGCCTCACCAGCTCTGCAGAAATCAACTGGAGGTGTTGGTCATTTTCCAGTCTCGGAATACAGGTCCTTGTAAAATAGGTGCTTCCTAGATACCCAACCCCAGAGTGCTTGCAGCCTGGTTTAACAATCCTCTCGCACCTCCTGTACCAGAGATTGTGTGGTAACCTTACTATAGCTTCTGCACCAGTCTTACCTAATCTCTAGTGATAAATTCAATACTATGGATCCAACAGAGAAGTAGGAGCAACAGTCAGGGACACTGTGTGTCTGCTGCCTCCACTGCTTTTGCAACAACAGCTAAGGCAGGCACACATGTGAGTATCAACCCACCATCCACAGCCATCTACCCCAGGACGCTGAAAAGGGCTGAGAAACTCGGTTTCTGCAAAACAAGCTAGAGACCTGGTTGGCCCACAGGAGACAATACCAAGAGCGTGTTGGCAATGTGGCAGTACAGGCCAGACCACAGACATCTCATGAATAGTACAGATGTTGGCTGGACGTGCTGGGGGTCCTGGTGATGGGGCTGAGAGAAGGACACTGGGCCCAGGGACTTGAGAAGCAACAGCCTTGAGCACAGGTCTGTGCAGAAAGAGCCTGTGTGGCACACGCAGTGTTGGAAGCTTCTTCACCTTACAGTTTCCATCTTCACAAAAGAAACAAAAGATATTCCCTAGAGTAAGTAACATGTGACGTTTGTCCCCCAGGAGCCAAGGGGCCAAATGCAGCCCCTGTAAGGGGGGTCATGGAGTCCAGCTCTGAGAGTCAGCCAGAGCCCCAGCACAGAGCCCACGTTCGGCACTAGAAACCCCACACACCCTAGAGACCGTTGCCCCCCATATGCAGAACTTGTCAGGACCAAGAATGGAACGACCTAGTCACAGAGCTGCTGTCTGTCTGGTGAAAGCGTTCACAGTATACCAGTCTGTCAGGGGCAGATGGAGCCAGAAATGTGATGTCGAGAGGGAGGACACTTCCCAGGTAGGTTTCAGAGCACAGAAACAAGACACCATGTGAAGGAGAATTTCTTCCAGCTGAAAACACACAGAAGCGGCACATCGTCCTGACCCCAACCTGACCTCCAGGGCACCTGTGTCCCCTACGTCTGCAGTCAGAGCCCACATCCACTGCACACGGTCCTGCACTGTCCGGGCTACCCTGGTCGCCATGACATAACCAGACTTCCTGAGGGGTTACTGGGAGCAAGGTCACCTGGGAAAATGCAGTGGATTGCACAAGGCTTGTCCACTGTCTGTAACAACCACCCCCAAACCTAGTGGCCTCAAACGAGTCATTTGTTCTGTGTGCAGACCTTCAGTGTGGGGGACGGGGGCTCAAGAGGATGTCTCATTTGGGCTCCATGGGGTCAGCCAGGGCAGCTCCCTGGGGCCAGAGGGCCTCCTTTAGATGGCACGCTCACATGGCTGGCCAGCTGGTGTTGACGATCCGCTAGGAGCTCGGCCAGACTGTGGGCTGAGACCGGGTTCCCCTTCATGGACTCCTGGGCCGGGATCCATAAGGAGATGGTCTTGAATCCATTTTGAGTTGATTTGGGGGTATGGTGTCAGGAAGTGGTCTGGTTTCATTCTTCTGCATGTAGCTCTCCAGTGTTTCCAGCACATTTATTAGAGACTGTTCTTGCTCCGTTGTGTATTCTTAGACCCTTTGTTGTAAATTAATTGACTGTATAAGCATGGGTTTATTTCTGGGCCCTCTATCCTGTTCCATTGATCTGTGTGCCTATTTTTATGCCAAGTAAGTGTATGTCTGTGATGGTACTTGAAGACGGTACCACGGACCTCACTGTAATTTTACAGAGTTACATCTCCCCACGGGGCCACATCAAGGTGGCAAAAACAGTAGGCAAGGACCCCAACTGTCCACAGTATGTAACAGTCATCACCATCCTGTCTCATGTGCCAGGCACACACCAGCGGTGACCACCTGAGCCAGGACTCAGAGGGCTCACCCCTGCGACTGTTTCCGCTGGTCCTTAGAAGCCACAACTTGAACTGAGCATGGAGACGACATCTCCTGGTGAAAGAAATGCAGCTTTTCCCAAGGCGCTGCCTCCACTTATCTCTGGTATTTCCGTATTCCGTGATTGACAAACAGACAAAAAGATATTTATTGAGGGATTATCTATACTGAAAACCAGACAAGGGATTTTTTTTCTCTGTCAACATTGCAGAAATATCAGCTGTTTGAACAAAAGGAGAGGTATATTCATTCGATCCTGGACACTGAAAATTCCCCAGTTTATTTTCAGGAAGACATTTGGTATTACTGATCAGGTTAGCTGAATGAGTTTAAACTCCTATAGCCAGATAAGAAGAAGGCTGATTTTCTCTTTATTATAAAGGTTATTGAGAGGGAACTAGATATAGAAGGTATTTGGGGTTTTTTTTGACAATCCCACAGACTCAGAACCACTTGAATATGTTCCAGAAGTCTGTTCAGCACCAATACTTGGATGGCCCACAGGATAGCGCTGTCTCTTCTGGAAGTACTAATTTTCTTGTTCAAGACTTGGCTTATTTCAAGCAAGCACTTTGTTATCAATGGGGGAAATGTCCATTTACCTGCTTTTAATTCATAAGGAATGTTCAAACTTCACTAGCGGTCAGAGAGATAACAAGACACCACTTCAGCCACCTGCGTCCCGGAACGCTTTGCCATCCCATCAATGGCGACCTGGCCTCGTAACTGCGATTTACTACGTCTGTGACCCTTGCTGCAAGAGCGTCTCCCAAAGCAGGAGATCCTACACGTGGGTCAGGAGTAAAGCATACACTTAAACCACAAATATTGCACACCTCCAGAGTGAAAGGGATTACTCACTACATGTGCTGTCTCTCTGTTTCTTGGCGTACCTTCAAATCTGGGAAGGAGGTATTCGAAATCCCAAATGAAGTGACTCTGTTGAACTTGTCCTCACTTTCTGGTGTGTCCTTGGCCCTGCCCAGAAATACAGTCTCAGATTTAAGGGAAGGAACCCAATCCCTCAAAAACATCAGTGTTCCTTCCATGGAAAGTTCATGTACCTCCTCTCCGGGATTTTGTGGGAATTCTGTAATTCATCAGTGAAAAGTGAGGGAAAGGCAGCCTCCCCAGGGCCCCAGCTGGTGTGCCCGCTTGTACAGTCAGGTGGGAACAGAAACCTGGGCAGAGGCGACATCATCAAGTGAAGGGACTCCTACAAAGTAGTGAGAAGTACATGTGCGGCCTTCAGAAATGTGTGCTCCTTCAGAACTTTGCCACATGTACTTTTTAAAATTAGATAATAGCTAGCTAGCTAAATAGATGATAGATAATAGAAAGATACATAGATAATAGATGATGGATACGTTGATAGATGGATAGATTGACAGGTAGATAATAGATGGATGATAGATACATATATAGATACACAGATATCTCCAAAGGACAGCAGTTTCACGCCTTTCTAAAAGAAATGATGTGACTTACAGAAATGACCACAATTATTTTTTAAGTGAAGTTATGCAAATCTGATAGACTAAAGTAAATGTTTCATAAAACCAATGACTGTTTAAATTGTAGGACTAAATTGTTTGTATATAAATATTACCTTTTATATTCCATTTGAGTTTTATGTAGATGAACACATTACTTTAATGACCCGCGTTTGCGGGGAGAGCAGGAGACTCGCTCTCTCGGTTCCCGCCCGCCAGATGGCTGCCTTTTCTTGCATGAGATTAAAACATGTCTCTCATTCACTGTGATGCTTCTGAGGCAAATTAATATCGCCAGCTAAATTGCTTGTGTTTTCGGAATAAAATTTAAAGAGAACTTTTTAAAGCGATTGGTGTCACAGGTTCTCAGAGCAGATTGCTCTCCAGGTAGGGCATGCTGGTTTTAAACATGCGGTAATTAATGGAAAGAATTCTGTGTTAATTGACTGCTTCAGGAAAGGGAAATATAATGACTCCTTATTAATCATGAAAAGAAATGTACAGCGTGGAGGCACCACGGTAATTGCTCTAACAGCGGAGAAATGTTAATTAATGAAAAGAACAATGATGTAAGAAATTAGCTGCATAATGTCAGCCTCCAACGGAGGGTGGGTTGGGTTCGAAACACGTTATTTACAGTGGAAACCACAAACCGTTGCCTCAAACAGATACATGTAACCTTGTACCACCCAAGTTTAGGGGGAAAAGTCTTAAAATGCTGCTGTCATCTTTGCTTGCAGAAGCAAAAACACCTGCCCGGGGCTATATTTATGTCACAGGAGAGCGGCCTTGTCCTTCATGTCTGCTCTGGGCTTCTAAAACCACAATCTTCCTCAGAGCAAAACAGGGCCATTTATTAATGTCATTTAATTTCCACACAACAGGTCATTCTGACTGCTGAGGACAAAAGGAGGAGAAAGCATTTTTCCCTAAACTGAAATAAATAAACTCCCTTCTGATATTTCCCTGCTCACGTAAAGAAAAATTCAGATTTACTTTGGGGACACTGTCTTTTTTTTAACCTAATTTCAAGTCCCTGAGAGAATATGTAGCTTCCAGTCAATCTAACAACTCATTTTCCAGAAAAGGAAGCCGCGTTCATTAAAATGCAGAGCCCCCCATCAGACCCCTGCACGGCATTGAGGGGCTCAGAACCATCAGTCGCCTAAGCTGGGGTTGCTCCCGGTCTGTGTGCCAAGGAGCTTATCCTTTGGCCTGCTTGATGGGGGGTCACAGCCCCCACAGCCCGGGGCCGAGGGCAGGAGGGGAGGGGGTTCGCACAGCACCCCCAGGTGGAGGGCTGGCAGGGAGGGGGGGCTCTCACAGCCAGTGCCCTATGGGGAGGGGAGGAGGGAAGGGAGGCTGCTCTGGGGGCACAGAGGGTACCCACCTTCGGGGGCACCGCGCTGATGCCCTTTCCTTCCAGGTGGAATGTGCTGGGACTGCAGGGCGCGCTGCTCTGCCACTTCATCGAGCCCGTGTACCTGCACAGCATCATCGTGGGGAGTCTGCACCACACCGGCCATCTCTCCCGGGTGATGAGCCACCGGACCGAGGACATCGGCCAGCTGCCGACCTCCTACAGGCACAACCGGCCCCTCCTCAGTGGTAAGAAAACCCTCCCCGGAGACGCGCACCAACGCCCTCCCATCGGCCCGCCCCATGGGTCCTTACTCGGGCACACTGTACCCATTTTGGCCAACGGCTATTTAAGATTTAGCGAGCAAAGTTACAAAGATCCGAAACAAAATGAGAGGGTCACGGTGCATCCCGCGGGCAGGAGTGGGCAGCGTTCTGAGGGGGGCACAGACCAGGACTCAGCGCACCACCTGACCACTGTAACTAGGGGTCTGCAGTGCCCACGCGGTGAAACGCCAGCTTAAGTCTTAGACTAGATCACCTGGGAGAGAAACAGGAAAATTAGAGGTGTTCAGTGCTGCGGCTCAGAGCTGGGCCGGAGATTCACTCCCAGGATTCTGAACTTTCTCTAAATGACATTATCAGGGTGATAATAGTGCCCCACGGGGTGGGAGTGGGAGCAGGCACGGTTCATGAGCAGCGCTTTATGACATTTGGCATGAATTTAAGAAAAGATACCTCCACATTTGTTCATTCTGCACACCGACCACCGACCACAGGCAGCACCTCGCACCTGCTGCTCCAGGAAGAGCCTGGGGCTGGGCTGGCGTGACCAGTCAGGTCCCCGCTGCATTACACGTGAGATCCCGTTCTTAGGACCCCAGACCCTGAGCCAAGAACCACCTCTCTGTTGCTGAGGCAGGAGGTGTGGCCCTCAGGCAGTAGGTCTGAAATCAGCGTGGGTCCAAAACTTGTGTCCCCTGTCCTCAAATCCCTGTGACCATGTTAGAGTCCGGGGGCTCCATGTGTCCAGGGAGGGAGCCTTCCATGCAAAAGTCTGCACACTTCAGCAAGGCCTGAAGGTCTGCACACTTCATCTGAAACGGGGTCACAGAGTCTGTCCAGGAACGCAGGACAGTCACCATCTTTTAGGGTCTCACCTTTCTCTGCTGGTCCCCAGGGCCACTCCTTTGTGGCAGGGGGTCCATTCTTCACCACTGTCCCAGGGGCCAAGGTAACACGATCGGCAAGGCAGGGTTTCCTCAGCACCATCCTCGCTCGAAACCCTGTGCCCAATACTGCAGGGCCCTTGACTCGAACCAGAACCGATTCCGGGCATTGACGGGCCTGTGGGTGGTCTTGCTGGGGGGCGAGCGCCTGAGGGGCCCGGTCTGCACAGAGCGGTGAGGACACAGCACTCGAGTCTCTTTCTGGGAGCGGCCACACCGCCAACACGAGGGAAGGACACTCAGCCACTCGTCCTTCTCAACAAACACGGTGCACGACGCCTCATCACACCAACCGTCTCCATGTCACAGGTGTGGGAAGAGGCTCCTAGAAATTCAGTCACTTGCTGCGATGCTCCATCCATTGACATGGGGCAAGGATTCGAACTCGGCTTGACTACAGAGCTAAGCTCTTTCATCTTTCCACACTGCATCCCGTGGCCCGCACCATTTAACTGATGCCTATATTTTTAATCCCATAAAAATTAATAATGCAAAATGGGAGCAGCAAACCAGCCCAGGGCTCGTACAGCCCTGGAGGCTCACTGCCAGCTCACCCAGCGTCAAAGTTTATGAAATTACATTAATTTTTTTTTTTAAGTTTATGTATTTTGAGAGGGGGGGATGGGAAGGGGCAGAGAGAGAGAGGGAGAGAGAGAATTCCAAGCAGGCTCTGCACTGTCAGTGCAGAGCCCAACACGGGGCTCGAACTCAAGAACCATGAGATCAAACCTGAGCTGAAATCAAGAGTGGGACACTTAACTGACTGAGCCACTCAGGTGCCCCACATTTATTATTTTAAAGTTAGTAGGTTCAGGTGTAGTTCAGTTTCAACCTCTTTCTTTTATTTTTCCTTTTTTTTTTTTCCTCAAAATGGCAAAGAATATTTACTTCTTACAGTTGAACTGCCAACACAGCTCCAGAGCAGACCCCAGGAGATCTAGAACTACTGGTTTGGTGCTCAAGTCCAAAATTCCCATCTCGGGGGCGCCGCAAACCACAGTGAGGTTCTTAGTTCCTAAGTAATTGTGAGAGAACTCTGATCTGTCCGCACGGGTGTCACGTGCCATCTTTTCCCAGGCTTCCAGCTCCTCGAGTGGCCTCTCTCCTCTACGTTCATCTCCCAGTGAGGAAGTTACTTAAGCCCCATGAGCACAAGGAATACAGAAAGCAAATCCTTACCAGCCTCCGCCAGTGGCTGCTTTTCATTCATCCTTTGGGTACCACACAACACTGCCGGCATCCATTCTTCTGGCAATGCTTTTTAAAAATCCTAAGTTCAACTTGGAACATGTACACATAGATGAAAACAGGAATTGTGAATTATAAGTGTGACACAAGTGAATTTTTTTAAAAATGTAATTAGAGAAATTCAGAACACCTGAAATCATCAAGTGGCAAAGCGCCTGAGACCTACGTGAACCCCCGCCCCGCCATCCAGAGGGGTAGTCACCCCTATTTACAACCAGGACAGTGACTAGACACTTCAGTCTATGCTTAGATGCCTATTTAAAATACCGTATGGGGTACCTGCATGGTTCAGTCAGGCGTCCGACTTCGGCTCAGGTCACGATCTCACGGTTTGTGGGTTCGAGCCCCACATCAGGCTCTGTGCTGATAACAGGGAACCTGCTTCGGATGCTCCACCTCCCTCTGTCTCTGCCCTTCCCCCACTCATGCACTTGCACTCTGTCTCTCTCTCTCTCAAAAATAAATGAACATTAAAAAAAAAATACAGTTTTTATTATTGCCGAGATGCAAAGAAGCCCACGCCATCCATGGTTTCTCACCTACATGCTTTTAACTGCAGTGACTGCATTGCTCTGATGGATATTTAAAAACCATCCAAGTTTTGAAAGGAAATCATCAGGATTTTTTGCAACAGAAGAGAGAGAGAGAGATCTTATATAAGGATGATAATGAAACACACTCAAACAAGCACATGAAATCTGCTTGAAGATTCCCTCAAGGTCAGTTTGCAAAATTGCCCGAGAAGATGAAGCCCACATATTAGTGCAGGAGTCCTACGTTTAGCTAGGGCTCAATCAGTTCTGGGTTAATAAGAAGCACCCGAGCTGAAAAGATGCCCTATTGACACGGTTATAGGGTATACTAATGTCCTCCAAAGAGATCTTGAAACATTCTGCACATACCAGCCTATACCGACGGGCAAAACACCACAATGTGGACGTCCACACCTCGGCTGCTGAGCAGCCCGAACCCTTCGGCAAGAGTCACGTCACCAGGTGGGAGCAGCCACCATAAAGGAGCTTGCCTTTCCCGTTTCTCAGCATATTTGATATGGTGAAAAAATGGTGATGATGACAATCAATAAAAATCTGTGCTCTGAATACTCATCTTTTTAGGAAAACATAAAGTGACATACAAAGTGACTTTGAAGCCTGTTCTTCCAGACCGGGGGTATGGTGTGTCTGAGCTTCCAACCTCAAAGTTGAAGAAAAATAAGTTTATTTTTCTTCATCAAGAAAAACAATCCCAGCCAAGGCGGAAAATCTGGGTGGAATGCACAGGTTCTGTATTCCTCTTAACAGCATATTTAATGGATCTGGTTTTCAACAATGAGCCTTCGTAGTCCACACTGAAGATAAAACTTACAATTAGTTTTACAGCCCATGGCAAGGTCTTGGCAACGAAAATGATATCCAAGAGATGGACGCAGGGAATTGGATGTCAGAACCGCGAGTTCTTTCGGACCCCTGGTTCTTGTGCACGTGATGGAAATCACAGGATCGTGATAAGCAGACATCGGTTGTCTCCCTTCCCAGTGCACATCTTCCCAGAAGCATAAAAATGGCTAGCTGGCATGTCAGAGCCTTTTCAGACTCCATGTTTCTCAAGGAGCTGAATGTGTTGAAATGTCTACCAACACAGTCTGTAGATCCTGCCCAACACCACCTGCTGGTTGCACTCCAGACACCTCTCTTTAGGGAGCGGTAGTGGGTGGGATGGAGGAGGAGCTCTGTCGCCATGCATAGCCATGCTTTTGTGAGTTCCAGTGTCCAAAGTATTGTCACTCAAGCTGTAGAATCTGACGGGGAGAGCTGCGCCTCTTTAATTCAGGAGAAATTTCTGAAGTCAATGGTCATTAATAGTGTCTTGCAAAACAACCCAGTGGGGTAGGAGCAAACATTGTCTTTTATGCAGATGGTAATGAATTCGCAGTATTATTTTTATACTAAAATAAACACTGGTTTATTATGGAAAAACCTACAAATTTTTCATAAATGTTTAGGATAAAACACATGAGCTTAAAAGTGTATCTGAGCAGCTGCTTTGTCTTGGGGTTGTTAGAAGTAGAAATTTATCTCCTGAGCCCTTGAAGGAATCTTTGGTAGAAAAAGATTATTATAAATCTTGCTAGAATAATCTAAAGGCAATCCTAATATTTTTGCCTAAAGATTGAAATGTTAGATTCAACAAATATTTAATAAGACATTTCCATAGATTAGCACTGATCTCCCCCTGCAAATCAGATGGCACATAGCTTATGATAAATTTACAATTATAGAAAAACCTTGTTTTAGTTTTCTGAGGAGTTTTTCCAAAAATACTTGTATATTAGTCAAGTTACATTTAATTTCCCCCATGATTTTAAGGAATTCGTTCACCAAAGTATTTGAACACCAACCTTAATTCCATTGCTCTTGAAATTTTTACCCTTTAAGGCAAATACTTCCATTGTTAATACATTTCATTTATGCAAACATCAAGAAGTTGGTCAACATAATCCATACTTACTTAATCATTCAACAAATATGTATTGATTGCCTAGACATACCATGGACAGTTAGTTACACCCCGGGAATGCAGCAGTGAATGAAACGGTCAAAAACCCATGCCCCAGGAAGATTACATTCCAGGGGGGACAAAATGAAAATGCTTTGCAGAAAAATAAAGCAAAGAAAGGATTAAAAGTGAGCTTTGACCTTAAACCAGAGGGTGAGGACAAACCTCACTGGGGGTGACTTTGGAGCAAAATCCTGCAGGAAGAGAGATAATGTG